GTTTCCTTCATCGACAATCCCACCATAGAATGCAATATGGGAGAAGGCTTGGCCTTCCTTAAATTTCACATCTGCCCTGCGACCCAAGGGCACTGGTGGCAATGTGGCGTGGTGGTTGACATGTCGAGACTACACGCTGCACTGTTATGGTTCGACTTCCACTGGGGATATTAATAAGACTTAGGCTAGGTCGAAACTGCAGTCCACCCTGGATGAGAACACCTTTTGGGAAAACAAGGCTATGTGAAATTCAATGAAAACGTCAACTCTACTCATAGCATTATCGAAAAATTTAGCTGCTAGTCCTTCATCAACTTAAACGAAATAGGGTGAGCCTAACTAATCGAATTTTCTAAGACTAGCCACAAACTAACGTGGCCATTGAGGTGTATGAGTTGTTGCATCAGACATAAAAACAAAGTGCTCATCAGGAAGTCGATTGGGATAAATAAACTTTGAGAACGAAAAATTTTCTAATCGGCTGAAACAACCAAGTATATTGGCATATGCAGCGTCCAGAAAGGAGAGCTAGAAGCTTAATTGTAACTAAAGAAAAAACCAATTGACAAAAAAATGTATATGAATAAAAGGAATCCAAGTAGATTGTCTAAGAAACAGAGTCATCTATAATGTTACAGTAAAGCCAAACAGAAGTTGGGCAAAAGGAATATTTCACTTTATTTTGCTAAGATCGAGCACATTCACTTGAAATGATGGTTAGCTCAACAACTAACACATTAAATTAATATAAAGTAGGTTCGGAAGCTCCCAGTATAGCTAGTGTATGCATCTATATATGCATAGATACGCATTATATATATATATAAATAATATATATTTAGTAGTAGTTTCGAAAAACTACATATAAACGAAAAATAATTAATGTAGTCGCTTGCTATTACAAAAAAATTATTTATCGACAGTACTACCACAGAATATAATATGGGAAAATAACTAGTCTTCCTTGAAATTCGTATGCACCCTGTGACCCAGTGGCACTCATGTAAGTGTGGTATAGTGGTTAGTGTCGAGATTATTCGCTGCACTAACATGATTCAAATTCGACCTAGGAGAGGTCGAAACTGCAGTCCGCCCAGAATAAAATACAATTTGGGAAAGCAAGGCCATAAGGAAGAACAATAGAAACGTAAAGTCTGCTCATATCATTGTGTGAAAAATTCAACTGTCAGTCCCCTTATCACCTCAAACGAAACAGGATGGATAAGTAGTCCTCACGATGTCATTAAGTTTCACTAGGTCTTATTACTTAAAAGGTATTCTCTTCCAAGGGAGACAGCAATTTCGACTTCGCCGAGGTCTGATCAGCACTCCCAGCGGCAATCGTATTCGGGTAGTTGAGTGTATAATTGCGAACTACGTCACAATACAACGGATACTGCTTGGTCAAGGGGATATATGATCAGGCTATTCATGTTACATTTATAGAAAGATTGTTAATCAAGTAAATTTGTGTTTTGCCAATAAAATCTCTTTCTCATAACCCCATTTCATATGATCCATTTGCATTATGCATACAATTCTGTGTTCTCGCATCCTCCAATGTCGCCCGAGAGTATCGCTTCAAATGGATTTAGTGAAACATAATCATCTTCAACACCGAGTTCAGATGTTGTCTTCAAGCCTTCTGACTTCCTTTTAACCCCCCTTCACCCCGTTTGTCAGTTGTTACCTGTTACACATGAAGACCACGGATTGGCTTTCGATGAGCCTTCGATTATGGTCCTCATTTATGTCATATTTAAGGATTTAAGGCCGGTAATTCTCATGATTAGAGATCTCCCTCCCCATTTGGCTTTAGAAATATCACCCAATTATCCTCTTTCTCAACACCTACCATATTCTTTCTCCTTCTCTATGGCCTTCTAGGACTTGATTAGGATTGCTGATGTGAAAATCGACCTGTTTCCCTCCCCGCTCCTTATTCACACGATTTAAGTCGGATTCTCACTTAGGATTTCTAGAAGCTACAGATAAGTAAGAAAACTTCGAAAAGGATCCTGTCATTAATTTTAAAAAGGCACCAGAATAAGCTAATTAAATATAGAATCTATAGGCAGCCCAGGGTCCAACCACGCGGCAAAAAAGATGCCCCTAGAATCACAAACCTCACAGTCCAGATAAGACATCAAGATGTAATAGTGAATCTGTCTTTCCTTCATCCTGACCTGGAAACCACGGCGATCATCAAGAGAATAAATTTTGCAATTCGGAATGAAGGAAAGTGGGGGTGATAAATACCTTTAAGAAGCTACTTAGAGAATTAAAAAGAAATGGAAATCATCCGAAGTTTGGCGCATCAAGAACCAACGGATAGGAGAAATATAACCAAGATATATGAATAATTAAGAAGAAACGAACAAATAGTCCTACAAGCTGACAAGGGAGGTGCCACAGCAGATGGAAAGAAAGGAATATGAAGAGAAAATGGAAAAAAATTCTCGGGAACAACTTATCAACTGCTATCAAAAGAACCAAAGTAAAAATCAAAGCGGCACAGTAAGAAATGCTGAAAGAAATGAATATGAAAGGGGAAATCAATAAATACACAATGAATTAATTCCTATGAAAGAATGGAAGAGCCCCCCCAGTAACATAAAGTTTGCTGAAAATATACAAAGGAGAACTATTGAGATTGATAGTCAATAACAAGCAAGGATCAAAACATAAACTGGCGTAATTTATCTGCCTTAAATTAAAGAAAGGGAATGACAGATTATCAAATACAGTAAATAACTCATATGAATTTTGCTGAATAATCAAAAGCACCAGTTTGAAGGGCAACGAACTCTTGGTAAGTTTTGATTCAAACAAGGAAAAAGATGTCATACGACACCGCAGGATATCTAGGGAATAGAAGGCGGCATCCTGGAGACGAAGCGAATCCGAAAAAAGATTAACCAATCTAACTATACTACAGCAGTTGTTTGACCTGGTTTTCGTGACTTGTTCATATTGGCGGAAAGATCTAGATCAACGCACCTTGACCGGAGTCCATTATATGTATGATAATTTCCAGTCGGACCATGGACTTAGTACACTCCAAGACGTTTCGCCGGCGTCGTTTATGAGCCTTGCCATGCTTGGCACCACAACAAAACTCGTCAAAGATACAAGTGAAGTCGATTCCTAGGCCAATTCACGAGGTGAATAGTTCAGGAAAAAATATATCCCAACTTTTTAGTAGACAATTGGTAAAAG